GATTTTTTTTTTTTAAATCCTGACATTGTCACCACTTTTAATTTCAGGGGTCCTGACAATGAAAAGCATAAAACACATCAAGGGAGCTGAGGGAAGGGAATGGGGTGTCAGTTTTAATTCTGGGGCTAATGTGATAAATCATTCAACCAAGACATTATAATTAAGGCCATACAAATTTCTAAAACATCTACCGGTGTATAATGTACGTATATGTTTTCTTGTTAATTGTTTTATGTACAGTTGTCCCTCGATAATTGTAAGGCTCGATAGTGGTAACTTTTGAAAATCGTAACGATATTGTTGTCAAAACATTCGCTTGCTAATCGTAGTTTGACTCGTGAATAGTCATTCGTCTGGGACGCGTACTCACGCTCTGAGCCGCCCCGACCACCCTTCCCAGCCAGTGTGCCATTGTTTACCAATGAGCGATGGTCCCCTCATTTGCTCATACGAAATATTTCATAATATTCCATTCATTTTAGTGCTTGCAACTACTAAATAAGCTACCATGGCTCCAAAGAAAGCTCCTAGTGCCAAGCCTTTGGTAAAGAAGGTGAGAAATACGATTGAATTTAAGAAAAACATCATTGAACAATATGAAAGTGGCGTACGTATGGCAGAACTGGCCAGGACGTATTACAAACCCCATACAACCATAGCTTCCATCATGGCCAAGAAAAAGGAAATCAAGGAAGCTGTTGTTGCAAAGGGGGTAAATATGCTGACAAAAATGAGATCACCAGTACTCGAAGAGGTTGAGAAGTTATTATTGGCATGGATAAATGAGAAACAATTAGCAGGAGATAGTCTTATGACGCCGATTATTTGTGAAAAGGCTAGGCAGTTGCACAACGATCTGATAAAGAAATTGCCTGCAACGAGTACTGATATTTGTGAATTTAAGGCCAGCAAAGGTTGGTTTGAGAGATTTAAGAACTGTACACAGTGTGGTAAGGCATGGTGAGGCTGCCAGTTCGGACCAAAAAGCGGCTGAAATTTTTTTTATTTTTTCAACAAGTCGGCCGTCTCCCACCGAGGCAGGGTGACCCAAAGAGAAAGAAAATCCCCAAAAAGAAAATACTTTCATCATCATTCAACACTTTCACCTCACTCACACATAATCACTGTTTTTGCAGAGGTACCCAGAATAAAACAGTTTAGAAGCATATACGTATAAAAACACACAACATATCTCTCCAAACTGCCAGTATCCCAAGCCCCTCCTTTAGAGTGCAGGCACTGTACTTCCCATTTCCATAACTCAAGTCCAGTTATATAAAATAACCGGTTTCCCAGAATCCCTTCACTAAATATTACCCTGCTCACACTCCAACAGATTGCCAGGTCCCAAATACCATTTGTCTCCATTCACTGCTATCTAACACACTCACGCACGCTTGCTGGAAGTCCAAACCCCTCGCCCACAACACCTCCTTTACCCCCTCCCTCCAACCTTTTCGAGGACGACCCCTACCCCGCCTTCCTTCCCCTACAGATTTATACACTCTCCATGTCATTCTACTTCGATCCATTCTCTCGAAATGACCAAACCACCTCAACATACCCTCTTCAGCCCTCTGACTAATACTTTTATTAACTCCACACCTACTCCTAATTTCCACACTCCGAATTTTCTGCATAATATTTACACCACACATTGCCCTTAGACAGGACATCTCCACTGCCTCCAACCGCCTCCTCGCTGCAGCATTTACAACCCAAGCTTCACTTTCATACATTCCCTTCTTTGCCTCCATAGATAACATTTTTTGCCTCCACATATACCTCAAATATGTGCATGAATTCAAGGAGTACATAGAGGCTGAAGGACTGAAACCTGAACAAGTGTTCAATTGTGACAAAACAGGCCTCTTTTGGAAGAAAATGCCAAAGAGGACCTACATTACTCAGGAGGAAAAGGCACTACCAGGACACAAGCCTATGAAAGACAAGCTGACGCTCATGTTCTGTGCTAATGCTGGTGGGGATTTCAGAGTGAAGCCATTACTAGTGTACCATTCTGAAAATCCCAGTGTGTTATGGAAAAACAATGTTATGAAGAGTAAATTTTGTGTATTTTGGAAATCTAATAGTAAGGCATGGGTCATGAGGGAAATTTTCGTCGAGTGGTTCAATGAAGTGTTTGGCCCTAGTGTGAAGAATTACCTCCTGGAAAAGAAATTGGATCTCAAGTGCCTTCTAGTAATGGACAATGCACCTGCTCATCCTCCAAACTTGGATGACCTAATTTTGGAGGAGTTTGGGTTCATCACAGTAAAGTTCTTGCCCCTGAATACCACTACTCTCCTCCAGCCCATGGACCAGCAGGTCATTGCAAACTTTAAAAAACTCTACACAAAAGGTGCTTTAATGTGACCTCAGACACTCACTTGACCCTAAGAGATTTTTGGAAAGAACACTTCAGCATCCTCCATTGCTTGGGAGGGAGTGACTACCAGGACTTTGAACTCTGCTTGGAGAAAATTGTGGTCAGATTGTGTCCACAAGAGGGATTTTGAAGGGTTTGGGGCTGACCCTGATGAGCCTATGTCAGTTGTTAAATCCATTGTGGCACTGGGGAGTTCCATGGGGTTGGATGTGGGTTTGGAGGATGTGGAAGAGTTGGTGGAAGACCACAACAAAGAGCTCACCACTGAGGAGCTGCAAGAGCTTCAGCAGGAAGAGCAACAGATTGCAGCTCAGAATCTTGCTGCAGAGGAGGAGGAAGAGAGATGGAAGAAGTTGCCTTCTTCAGAAATTAAGGAGACTTTTGAAATGTGGGGTAAGATGGAAAGATTTATGGAGAAACATCACCCTGACAAGGCTGTTGCAAGCCATGTTGGCAACATGTACAGTGACAAAGTCTTGGCCCATTTTAGGGAGGTGTTAAAGAGATGCCAGAAACAGAGCTCTCTGGACAGTTATTTTGATGGACAGGACTCTAGTGACTCTCAAGGTGGTCCTACTGGCATTAAGAAACAGAGAAGAGATTAATCCCAGAAAAGCACCTTGTGCCTGAGGTGTTGATGGAAGGGGATTCCCCTTCCAAAGAGTAACTAATGCAATCTGTCTCCTCCTCCAGTCTTCCATACACTAAGAAGAATTGCCAATAAGTGTTATGCTATTAATGTTTCATTCATCATGTCCCATTGTATTGTTTATGTGCTTCTGGGTGTCAGGAACGGATTAACTGTATTTACATTATTTCTTATGGGGAAAATTGATTCGAAAATCGTAAATTTCGATAATAGTCACACTTCCAGGAACGGATTAATTATGATAAACGAGGGACCACTGTACTTTCATTTACTCATTCAGTCAACTACATTCCTTCCCTTTACTCTTTCCCTTCTCTCTACCCCATTCCTTCACTCTAACCTATCCCTTAACTCTGCCACTATCCCTTCCCTTCCTCTCTCTTTCTCATAAAATAAAACCATGCTAATGATAACACAACTATCATCAACACTGCCACCACCAACACCAACAACAATGCCACTGCCTTTTCTGCATAATGCACACTGACATATTGTATACAGTTGACTGTCAGATAACACAGTTTCATTCCTGAAAACAACGTGCAATCAAATAATGTATGCAAACAGAAGTACATATGGCAAAAATAGGTTTTTGTTCATTAGACTCCCAAAAAAAGCCAAACAAATTTTGAATAGGTCTTGAAACTGCTAAAAACAATGAAAATAGTGTAATTGTAGGTAGATTTGGTGATGTGTATCAATCAAAAATTCCATATCCACATCTTTGCTTGCAGATGGAAATGGCTTTTTGTTCAGCTGCCCCACTCACTGCAACTGTATGGAGTTAAAAAGGTGGGTTAGAGTGGCTGGGGTGTAGGCAGGAGGGTTTAGAGCAGTTGGGGAGGAGGGGTCAGGTATGGAGTAGGGGACCTAACAATGGATGAGTGGGGGCAGAGGCTGGAGGCTGGTGTTGGGAAATGGAAGGGTATGGGTGTGGAGGCTGGAAGCAACAAGGTGGTGTGATGGTGACTGTATTGGTGGCCTGGTGCAGGTGGTGTGGATGATGGGTGGGCGTATTTTCAGTTGTTGGCGTGAACAGTCATGAGAGTGGTGGGTCACTAGGTGTGTAGGACATGAAAGTGTGGGTAAGGTGTTGGTGGGGACTATGGGAGTGGAGCTGTGTAGCTGAAGTTGTGGGGGAGTAGTATGAGTGAAAGGTGTGGTTGTTGGTGGCCCAATGTGAATGGTGATATGGATGATGGGTAATCAGGTGAGTGAGTGTGAGGTTGGTGGTGTAGGCAGAAATGAGGGTGATGAGTGACTAAGTGATTAGGTATGTGGATGGCATGTTAGGGTGAAAAGTCATGTAAGGTGTGGGCATCAGGTTGTGAGGAAATAGCATGGATGAGGGCTAGGGGCTTGAGGCAGTGGAAGAAAGTAACCAAGGAGAAACAGCGTAGGCGTAGTCATGTGGCTGAAGGTTGGAGGGAGAGGGTAAAGATGATTTTGCGTATGAGGGACTTGGGCATCCAGCAGGCATGTGAGAGCATGTTAGATTGGAGTGGAGGCAAATGGTTTTTGAGACTTGACAGGCTATTGGAATGTGAGCAAGGTAACATTTTGTGAAGGAATTCAGGGAAACTTGTTAGCTGGACTTGAGTCCTGGTGGTTGGAAGTACAGTGCCTGCAATCTGAAGGAGGGGTGGGGATATTTTTAGTTTGGAGGGGCATCTAAAATATAATATTTGCATGCCTCTGGCAAGACAATGATGGTGAATGATGGTGAAAGTGCTTTTTGGGTCACCCTACCTCAGTGGGAGGTAACCGGTGTCAAAAAAAAAAAAAAAAAAAAAAAAGAAGTAAAGAAGAATGGTAATGGCATTCAAGGTGTGCAACGACAACTGACCTTGTATATGTGGTGGGTATGGTAAACATGCTTTACTTGGTAGAGAAAAGTAATCTTTCCTACAAACCCAACAATATCAGTACCCTATGAAAATATAACACAACTCATATTCTTACATCATTCATATGCAGAACACTGAAGAAATCTGATCTTGTTAGAAACTTCACTGCTGGTAGCTGAAGCAACATATCCATTCTATCACTGGTCACAGACGAGGATGATGATGATCCAGAATTAGAAGGAGGAGGATGAAACGTTGAAGATGAAGCTGGAAGGGTCGTGGAGGATGTCGTAAGAGGGAAAGAGGCTGTGCATGAAGCAGATGATGAAGGGGACTGAATAGATGATGACGATGTACATATCATAGTACAAGAAGAAATACTCGAGGAGCAGGAAGTTGGCGTTGTCACATCTGCAACATAAATTTCTTATAAATTTTACATTATAAAAAAGAATTTCTTAAGACAGAAGTAAGTGATCATTCTTGAAAGTCATGTATCACTCTACATACAATGTATGTAAATTTATTTGAAGCAGCCAACAACTTTGCTTTGTAAAATTTTAAAATAAAAAGAAATACATTATTCCACCATGTATACTATCTTCCATAGCTTCCATTTACACACAAAGCAGATGGTGCATGCTAAAGAAACTCTTCATAATTCATTAACAAACAGTTGGTACTTTCAAAGCAAGAACTGTAAAAAAATTCATACTGTTAGTTGAAGCAGAAGTAGATGATGATAATACTGGGACTGATGAAGAAGAAGCAAGTGCTGGGGTGGAAGTTGAAGAAGACAGAGTACTAGTGGAGCCTGTTGCAGTGAAATCATCCATTTCCATTCTTCTGGAGGTAATTGTTCGGCGAATGCTCTGATACCTATTAATGAAAACCACAATAAATATAAAGAAGATACTACTTTCTCAAACTATTTATGAAGCCCCATATCAACACCATCCATTTATAACATACAATTTTCAACAAAATGTGGGTGAAGCAGGTACAGCATACAGAGTTTCCTATTGCCTACAAGCTTTGCTTCAATCACTATATATTCACTTAGTTCACAAAACACTCGTCACTGAATCTTACATTTACATTTAATTTCTAATACATTATTCTCCAATCTTTTTATAATAACATAAAATACATATTAACTTTCATTAAGCTATTCCTATCAAAGAAAATGTGTTAATTCTTTTATCTATATAAAAGATTACAAATGCTCATTTAAAGAATAATCTTTCTTGGCAAGCAACCAGCTCTCAAAACTTAACATAGCATTAATTACTGCTTTTCTAATCTATCTTTTTTATTTCTTCTTCTTCTAGTCCTCCCTAACTACTTATCTTGAGAACCCCAACAAAGCTTACAAAATAGGTAGGTAGTATAGGTAGGCAGCATAACTTTACTTTTTCCAAAGTGCAAGCAGTTTTAAATTTGTCAGCAAAATCAATTTTGAAAAGATTTCTGTAAATGTCTAAGCTGCTATGGTGCTAAGTCCTCTATTAGAGAATACAAGTGAAAATGGATTAATCTAGTCATCAGTATCCTATACACCACTTATTCTTATACAGTATATTTAGCTTATGTAAAGACTAACATAGCTTATGCATTAACTATCAACACAAATCATTTTGAGAATATGCTGACTAAAAAGGAAAGGTTAATTAGATTTTTTTTTTTTTAACAAGTCGGCCGTCTCCCACCGAGGCAGGGTGACCCAAAAAAGAAAGAAAATCCCCAAAAAGAAAATACTTTCATCATCATTCAACACTTTCACCTCACTCACACATAATCACTGCTTTTGCAGAGGTGCTCAGAACACAACAGTTTAGAAGCATATACCTATAAAGATACACAATATATCCCTCCAAACTGCTAATATCCCGAACCCCTCCTTTAGAGTGCAGGCATTGTAATTCCCACTTCCAGGACTCAAGTCCGGCTATATAAAAATAACTGGTTTCCCTGAATCCCTTCACTAAATATTACCCTGCTCACACTCCAACAGATCGTAAGAAGATAAAAGAAATAAGAAAACTTAAACTGTTTAATCCATTCATAAAACTGACCTTCTATCTAACTGCTGTCTCTGGAGCTGATCTGTAGACTGATTTCTCTGAGTCTGAGCCGTGTCATTACCTGAAGGCCGTTGCCATGTTGTTGTCCTATTCACATGATCAATGTAGAAAATTCGCCCATGACTGTCAATTCGTGCCTCCCAATCTAAAAAAAAAAAAAATAATAAAGATGAGGAATTTAATTTATTAAGAAAACTAGTGACTAAAACTGATCTAATTAGGATCCTATACTCAGGAGACTTTTTGTATACACAAGTCTCCTCAACACACCACTATTCTTTTTTATTATTATTTTTTATTAGCACACTGGCCGATTCCCACCAAGGCAGGGTGGCCCGAAAAAGAAAAACTTTCACCATCATTTACTCCATCACTGTCTTGCCAGAAGGGTGCTTTACATTAGTTTTTAAACTGCAACATTAACACCCCTCCTTCAGAGTGCAGGCACTCTACTTCCCATCTCCAGGACTCAAGTCCAGCCTGCCGGTTTCCCTGAATCCCTTCATAAATGTTACTTTGCTCACACTCCAACAGCACGTCAAGTATTAAAAACCATTTGTCTTCATTCACTCCTATCAAACACGCTCACGCATGCCTGCTAGAAGTCCAAGCCCCTCGCACACAAAACCTCCTTTACCCCCTCCCTCCAACCTTTCCTAGGCCGACCCCTACCCCGCCTTTCTTCCACTACAGACTGATACACTCTTGAAGTCATTCTGTTTCGTTCCATTCTCTCTACATGTCCGAACCACCTCAACAACCCTTCCTCAGCCCTCTGGACAACAGTTTTGGCAATCCCGCACCTCCTCCTAACTTCCAAACTACGAATTCTCTGCATTATATTCACACCACACATTGCCCCCAGACATGACATCTCCACTGCCTCCAGCCTTCTCCTCGCTGCAACATTCATCATCCATGCTTCACACCCATACAAGAGCGTTGGTAAAACTATACTCTCATGCATTCCCCTCTTTGCCTCCAAGGACAAAATTCTTTGTCTCCACAGACTCCTAAGTGCACCGCTCACCCTTTTGCCCTCATCAAATCTATGATTCACCTCATCTTTCATAGACCCATCCGCTGACACGTCCACTCCCAAATATCTGAATACATTCACATCCTCCATACTCTCTCCCTCCAATCTGATATCCAATCTTTTATCACCTAATCTTTTTATCCTCATAACCTTACTCTTTCCTGTATTCACTTTTAATTTTCTTCTTTTACATACCCTACCAAATTCATCCACCAACCTCTGCAACCTCTCTTCAGAATCTCCCAAGAGCACAGTGTCATCAGCAAAGAGCAACTGTGACAACTCCCACTTTATGTGTGATTCTTTATCTTTTAACTCCACGCCTCTTGCCAAGACCCTCGCATTTACTTCTCTTACAACCCCATCTATAAATATATTAAACAACCACGGTGACATCACACATCCTTGTCTAAGGCCTACTTTTACTGGGAAAATAATCTCCCTCTTTCCTACATACTCTAACTTGAGCCTCACTATCCTCATAAAAACTCTTCACTGCTTTCAGTAACCTACCTCCTATACCATACACCTGCAAACATCTGCACATTGCCCCCCTATCACACCCTGCATACGCCCTTTCCAAATCCATAAATGCCACAAAAACCTCTTTAGCCTTATCTAAATACTGTTCACTTATATGTTTCACTGTAAACACCTGGTCCACACACCCCTACCTTTCCTAAAGCTCCTTGTTCATCTGCTATCCTCTTCTCCATCTTACTCTTAATTCTTTCAATAATAACTCTACCATACACTTTACCAGGTATACTCAATAGACTTATCCCCTATAATTTTTTGCATCTCTTTTGTCCCCTTGGCCTTTTACAAAGGACTATGCATGCTCTCTGCCATCCTCAGGTACCTTCCACTCTTCAATACATTTATTAAATAATAGACCAACCCACTCCAAAACTATATCCCACAGCCTGCTTTTAACCATTTTTATCTTTATCCCATCAATCCCAGTCGTTACCCCCTTTCATTTTACCTACTGCCTCACGAACTTCCCACAACTCACAACGCTCTCCTCACTCCTACAAATTATTCCTCCTTGCCACTATACATTGAATCACAGTTTCCCCTATCTTCATCAACATTTAACAATTCCTCAAAATTATTCCCTCCATCTCCAATCAACTCTAACATCTCATATTTAATAACTCTCCTCTCCTACTCTTTACTGACCAATCCATTTGTTCTCTAGGCTTCATTAACTTGTTATTCTCACCCAAAACTTTTTCTATTTTCCCCCCACAAATTTGTTGATAAACAATCTCACCCACTCTATCATTTGCTCTCTTTTACATTGTTCACCACTCTTTTAACCTCTCACTTTTTCTCCATATACTCTTCCCTCCTTGCATCACTTCTATTTTGTAAAAACTTCTCATATGCTAACTTTTTCTCCCTTACTACTCTCTTTACATCGTCATTCCACCAATCGCTCCTCTTCCCTCTCACACCCACTTTCCTGTAACCACAAACTTCTGCTGAACACTCTAACACTACATTTTTAAACCTACCCCATACCTCTTCGACCCCATTGCCTATGCTCTCATTAGCCCATCTATCCTCCAATAGCTGTTTATATCTTACCCTAACTGCCTCCTCTATTCTGATGCAACAAAATGGTTCTCTTTCCTCTTCTACACCCAAGACACCCTTCAGGAAGGGTCCCTTGATGCTGGTAATGATGATCTTTTAATCCAAGGAACTAGAGCTACCCTCCCCTTCCTTGGATCAAGTCTGAATACCTTCCTGACACTGTACTGCTCTTGTAGATTTATAAATAGACAAAAATAACAAACAATACAAGCAACAAACACTCAACACTAGGTGAAAAGCAGAAGGCCTAAGCTGTGTACAAACTGTGACATGCCATAAGCTAGAGAGGTGAGGGGTTAAGAGGAGCATCTGTAAATAGGTAGCTATAGGTGAAATGTACTTTCTGGATCCTCAAGTGACAGAACTGTCATAGTGAAGATTCTTGTTGGAGGAAGAGGGCCAAACGCCCATTTCCTTCTGAACTCTATTTAACTTGATCTTAGCCTGCAGGGCCACTGGGCCCACCACTCCCCAGGGACACATCTGAGGATATTGCCCTAATATGGATGTGAAGCATTTTTTCAATGCAGCAGCAATGATGTGGAAATATGCTGTCAGAGATCAATGTGTGGTGTTAATGTTATGCTATGAACATGGAAAAGAAATTAATGACTATGGCAGTATGAAAGGTGTCAGGTTTAATCAGAGTGGGTGTTGAGATTTGATAATGGAGAAAGAATGGATCAAGATTGGTGGGTGAAGAGGATAAATTTGGAGTGAATTAGAGCAGAGAGTTCTTCCAAGGAAGAGTAGTAAAGGAGTTAAAGGAATTGAGAAGTATACATAAGCATGTTAGTCTAGAGTTAAGACTGTAGTCTAGAAAAGTAAGCAAGATAATATACTATATAAAGGGAGAGTAAGCAAGATCTTTTCTTTCTTTCAACAAACCGGCCATATTATATATAAAGGGATTCAGATAAACCAACTAACTTGATTCAAGTTATGAAAGCTAGGTGGACACTAGGATGATGAGTTAGCACTCTACAACAACTTATGCACCCTTCTGGAAAAATAGTTATGGTAGCAATGGTGAATGTGATCTCCAGAGTACCACCCCCAATAAGTGGGAAGTGGCCAACAGGTTAAAAAAATTTAAGACAATACAAATTGGTCATATCCCACCAAGGCAGGGTGACCTAAAAAGAAAAATGAGTTTTTCTTTTTATATCTAGTAATGTATACAGAAGAAGGGGTTACTAACCCCTTGCTCCTGGCATTTTAGTCGCATCTTATGACACGAATGGCTTATGGAGGAAGAATTTTGTTCCACTTCCCCATGGATATAAGTGGAAATAAACAAGAACAAGAACCAGTGAGAAAATAGAAGAAATCCAGAGGGACGTGTATATATGTCCTGTACATGCATGTGTAGTGTGACCTATGTGTAAGTAGAAGTAGCAAGGCGTACTGGAAACGTTGCATGTTTTTTTTTTTTTTCAACAAACTGGCCGTATCCCACTGAGGCAGGGTGGCCCAAAAAGAAAAACAAAAGTTTCTCCTTTTAAATTTAGTAATCTATACAGGAGAAAGGGTTACTAGCCCCTTGCTCCCGGCATTTTAGTGGCCTTTTACAACACGTATGGCTTACGAAGGAAGAATTCTGTTCCACTTCCCCATGGAGATAAGAGGAAATAAACAAGAATAAGAACTAGAAAGAAAATAGAAGAAAACCCAGAGGTGTGTGTGTATATATACATATGCTTGTACATGTATGTGTAGTGTGACCTAAATGTAAGTAGAAGTAGCAAGACGTACCTGAAATCTTGCATGTGTATGAGACAGAAAAAAGACACCAGAAATTCTACCATCATGTAAAACAATTACATGTTTCCATTTTACACTCACTTAGTAGGATAGTAGTACCTCCCTGGGCAGCTGCTCTCTACCACTTACTACCTAGGACAATCTTAACCCTTTCAGGGTCCAGAGGCCAAATTTCAAAGTGCACACCAGTGTTCAAGAAGTTTCAAAAAATAATTTTTTTATTTTTTCTTATGAAATGGTAGAGAATCTTTTTCTGAGGGTAATAAAACAATAAGTATGAAATTTGATGGAAAAATGACGAAATTATGCTCTTGTGAAATTTTATGTGCCAGCGATATTTATGCATCGGCGATATTGCCGACTTTGACTCCCATGTTAGGCCAATTATATTATTCCAGTCGATCAAATTCTTAGCTATTTCACTAGTATTACTTCTATTCTATTGATAGAGCACAAGAAATCGCCAATTCAGCTGTTTCAGCTACAAAATAAAGTGACTGGAAATTGGTAATTTGGCCAATTTAGTGTAAAGTTCAAAAATTCCAATTTCAAAATAGGGTCCAGAATAAACAATGCAGGCATTCCTAGCACTAAATTAACATTTCCTCTGTTCATTAGTTATGTTTTCAGGCTTTACAAATGAATTCCATTTTGATTTTTAATTCACATAATGAATTTTTATTCAAACCAAAAAATAAAAGATTTAATGTCATGCAATATTGTAATAATTGTATAAATAATATCAGCACATTTGTGATTGTATATTAGACCCACCAGTTGGCGTGTATTAGACATGCGAGGTCATTTGTTTACTCTTGAACGTCGGCAAAAATTTAACATATCTGCTACTTTGAGCTCAGTTTCAAGCCATTTTCTATACTAAAACCAATCAAAATCATCTCTATTTCTGTAATATACCTTCCATTCTATCATATGAGATCAAGAAATTGCAAATACAACTATAAAAACATACAAAAAACACTGCAAAGTTGCTGTTTTAATAAAAAATTACGGTCTCAGTTTTTCTCTCTCATTATCCACTGTGTGCTGCAGGATTTGTTTTATGTGGTGAACACATACCACGTAGATGTATTCTTTCATATCTAGGCCCAAATTTACCACTCACAGCTTATCAAGTGAGCTGAACTCATGGCGTAGATCTACGGTTTGGACCCTCAACGTAAAGCCGTAGATCTATGGCACTGACTCTGAAAGGGCTAAAATATTTCCATACAATAAATTAAATATTACAGAACAATTCATAAATATATTAAACAGCTATATCAAAATACTGTATATATCTGCTGGTGATACCTAATAAATATTTAGTAACAGAAAAATACTAGAAGTACTACTAACTGGTTGGTAAAGGTTCTTCCCCAGGTTGGATTTCAACTCTCTGGAATTTGATAGTTCTTTCTGGAATGGACGGTAACCGCATAGTACGACTGTGGCGTTCCGTGTGTCCACCAAAATCCTGTATAGAACACATTGTATAACTAATCTGCTAACAAAATACAAGTACATTACTGGCAAGATCTGTTGGACAGCTGCATGCACTGCAACTCAAAACCTCAAGAAAAGTTTCACTTTGAGTGAGAGACAATCAGGTAAGAAAATATATACCAAAATTTGTAATTTTTACCTTCAAATTCTTAAGTGCTATAATAATGAAATTACATGTGCATTCTCTAATAAATACTCATTCTACTTTTCATTAACAATACTGCAAAGATAAATAATAAAGGAAAAAACAGCAGCACCTTAAATCTAACTGTACATCTGGTTTATTAGTTTTGCTATACAGTGGTCCCTTGAGTTGTGATATTAATCCGTTCCAGAAGACATACCATGCCTTCAAAATACATGGTTTTATGGTACAGGAGGGCTCCACTTTACAGCACTTCGCTTGACAGTTTTTTGCTAATCAGTTTTCAATCATACCCATTCTTCATTCAGACTTCCTACAATAAATATATTCACTACTCACTGTAAGCTAAGGACGAAAATATTTTAAGATAAGTAGTGTGTATGCTGTATGTGCATTTTTTGGGGCCTAGCTCTATTGCTCACTTAATATATGATAGTGTAAACATGTTATCAAGCTTTTACACAGCAAGTTTCGCTTTACAGCGGTAGCCTGGAACATAACCTGCTGTTTAAGCGGGGCCCTCCTGTAAATCATTCCAAGACCCCTGGAAGTATGACTTTTACTGTATCTTACACGCTGTCACATATAACTTGCAGGCATTTATCTCCTTTCATCTGCTTCTCTCTTATCCAAAATTACAACAATCTTTCCCTCTGTATGACAAGTTCTCAACCTTTTTTCACTAGCTTAGATTCATCAGCCAATTTAATCTTCTTCTTCTTTCAACAAACCAGCCGTATCCCACCGAAGCAGAGTGGCCTAAAAAGAAAAACGAAAGTTTCTCTTTTTAAATTTAGTAATTTATACAGGAGAAGAGGTTACTAGCCCCTTGCCCCCGGCATTTTAGTTCCCTCTACAACACGCATGGCTTACGGATGAAGAATTCTGTTCCACTTCCCCATGGAGATAAGAGGAAATAAACAAGAACTAGTAAGAAAATAGAAGAAAACCCAGAGGGGTGTGTGTATATATATATATACTTGTACATGTATGTGCAGTGTGACCTGAATGTAAGTAGAAGTAGCAAGACGTACCTGAAATCTTGCATGCTTATGAGACAGAGAAAAGATACCAGCAATCCTACCATCATGTAAAACAGGTACAGGCTTCCATTTTACACTCACTTGGCAGGACAGCAGTACCTCCATGGGTGGATGCAGTCTACCAACCTACTACCTAACAGCCATTTTAATATTCTTGATCATTTCTTTTTGCTTGATAATAGTAGACAGCTGTAGTCAAAAACCATACTCATGCACCAATGCACTAATTTCTTGCTTGATCTTCAGAGAAATGGCCTGTTTACTGTGCACTTTAGGGGCCATGATGACTTGGTAATGCCAAAGATCGTGTAATTATAACATAAATGCAATTATGAAGGGTAAAATAGAGTTAACATACTTGTCAGTATATTCCCACTGATATTCACAAGAGTAAAATGGAAACAAATGGTATAAAATACTGACAGTGCATTTCAGTCTTATCATTAAGAGTGAAATATGAGATATGAAGGCACAAAGAAAAAAATCTGAGCACTGTCCTACTATCAAAGGTGCTGACTGGACAGGTTAAAGAAATGCCTTTTTTTTTTTTTATAAAACAAACTGACACATATAATTTATTGATAATTAGGACACTGTTCCATTTGCAAAACTCCTGGCATTAACTTAGGAATAGTTTGTATCAAGTTAAAAAATTACTTCTCAAAACTGCTAAGATATCCCAAAACAAATTCTTTTTTGAGATTACTTATAGAATGTGATGAATCATAAGCATAATTCTAATTAAACAGCACCCTTATTTTTTTTTCTAATAAGTTGGCCGTCTCCCACCGAGGCAGGGTGACCGAAAAAGAAAGAAAATCCCCAAAAAGAAAATACTTTCATCAGCATTCAACACTTTCACCTCACTCACACATAATCACTGTTTTTGAAGAGGTGCTCAGAATACAACAGTTCAGAAGCATATACATATAAAGATACACAACATATCCCTCCAAACTGTCAATATCCCGAACCCCTCCTTTAGAGTGCAGGCATTGTACTTCCATTTCCAGAACTCAAGTCCAGCTATATAAAAATAACCGATTTCCCTGAATTCCTTCACCAAATATTACCCTGCTCACACTGCAACAGCTCATCAGGTCCCAAATACCATTTGTCTCCATTCGCTCCTATCTAACACGCTCACGCACGCTTGCTGGAAGTCCAAGCCCCTCACCCCCAAAACCTCCCTTACCCCCTCCCTCCAACCTTTTTGAGGATGACCCCTACCCCGCCTTCCTTCCCCTACAGATTTATATCTCTCGATGTCATTCTACTTTGATCCATTCTCTCTAAATGACCAAACCACCTCAACAACCCCTCTTCAGCCCTCTGACTAATACTTTTATTAACTCCACACCTTCTCCTAATTTCCACACTCCGAATTTTCTGCATAATATTTACACCACACATAGCCCTTAGACAGGACATCTCCACTTCCTCCAACCATCTCCTCGCTGCAGCATTTACAACCCTTTTTTTCCTGGTAGTAATTCCATGTATTTTTTATGTGTAGGTTCAGTCAATCTACAGGAAAATACAAATACAGTTTCCCTTCAGAGTTCAATGGAGTAAAGAAATTTTAACAAAAATTTTAAGATTTTCAGATAAAATTTATAATAAATCAAATATTGTATTAGAACTTAATGCAAATATGCTAGTAACCATGAGCTTTTTCTAACCCTTTGACTGTCGCGGCCGTATATATACGTCTTACGAGGTACCGTGTTTGACGTATATATACTCATAAATTCTAGCGGCTTCAAATCAAGCAGGAGAAAGCTGGTAGGTCCACATGTGAGAGAATGGGTCTGTGTGGTCAGTGTGCACCATATAAAAAAAATTCTGGAGCACGAAGTGCATAATGAGAAAAAAAAACACTCCGACCATTTTTTTTAATTAAAATGCCGACTTTGTGGTCTATTTTCGTATAGTATCTATGGTTGTATTCTCATTTTCTTGGTCTCATTTGATAGAATGGAAAACATATTATAGAAATAGAGGTGATTTTGACTGATTTTACTATAAAAAGAACCTGGAAATGGAGCTCAAAGTAGGGGAAATGTTTGATTTTTGCCAATGTTCAAAAGTAAACAAATGATGTCATTGTCCAATTAATGTCCAACTAGCCATTCTAATATGCAGTCATGAATGGGTTGATGTTATTTATACAATTATTACAGTATTGCAGTAGTCTGTATAATAGTAAGTCTTCTATTTTTTGTTTGAATAAAAATTCAAAATAGAAAGCAAAAGTAATATCAGAGGGGCCTGGAGACATGACTGATGAACAAAGAAATGTTATTTTGAGCCAGGAATGTCTGCATTGTTCATTCTGGACCTTATTTTGAAATTGTCATATTTTTTAATTTTCGTTAAATTGGCCAAATTGCAAATTTCTGACCACATTATTGGGTAGTTGAAATCGGTAAATGGGCAGTTTCTTGTACTCAATCGATAGAAAAAATGGAGTTCTAAAGAAATAGCTATGAGTTTGGTCGACTGGAACAATGGAATTAGCCAAAAATAGGGCTCAAAGTGGGCGAAATCGCCGATTTGTAAATATTGCCGATGTTGCTAACTTCGCGAGAGCATAATTCCGTCAGTTTTCCATCAAATTTCGTTTTTTTTGGTGTCATTACAATTGGGAAAAGATTCTCTATCATTTCATAGAAAAAATAATTTTTTTTTTTTTGAAATTTTGCGACACCAGGAGACACCTCAGGATTGGGGGTTGCGACAGTCAAAGGGTTAATAGCATACTTCTAGCATAAGATTATTCAGAATCAGTAACATTTTGATAACATACTTGATCATTGCCAATGGAATGATGAGGCCTTCGAGCATGATGTGTAGGTGTAGGAGGGCACTGCTGGGGAAGTGGTGGTGGTAGTGGTGGTGTGGGGCGAGCAAGTCGATGATGTGGACGGGGTGGTGGTGTTGGAGCTTTGTCATCACCAGCATCTTTGCCATCTTCCTGCCATCTTCTGTCACTATTTGATTCTGTTAGCAGAGCTGTTGCTCCTGGCAGTACAGATACTGCTGTCATTGCCATGGATGCAGGATCTGATATTGTACCATTTAATGATGTTCCTGATCCTCCATTAGCACTATTTGTTGACTCCATTACGGTAAGAGGTGGTGACATCGTAGGTGGAGGTGGTGGGGGTGGAGGAGGCGGTGGTGATGGAGCCGTAACTCCATCATCACAGTTGTCAGGACTTGAACAAGTTCCACCAGGCAACATATTTGATACAGATGTTGGAGTGGATGGTTCAGGAGTAACCACACGACTGCTAGTACGACTCCCGCTACATTCACTCTCTCCACTTTCACAAAATGATCGTCTGAAATTATAGAGCAACAAATCTATATCTTAGAAACATTAGAAATGAAAACTGTTAATCTATTCATTAGTCCTAGAACAACAAACAAAAAAAAAGAACAGTTCTGAAGAACAAAAGATATGTTTTTATTAGTACAGGTCAGCCATCACTAATCCGGCAATCAGTAATCCGGCACTAATTTTGGCTAGCATAATTTCAAATTTCCCAGGTCACTACACCAACATGCCACTACTGTTTTGTAGCTCTATTTGCTGCACAAGTCATTCCATTTTTCTCCATTTATTGTTATAACCTGCTCACTTTTAGCCCTAGCCATGGTTCCAACGAATAATAGAAATGCTTCACGTTGTGTAAAACACATACACCGTACATTGTCCATAAAAGTTAAGGTGGCTTTGAAGCCACTGTTGGTCACCACGAGCTCAGCTCACTCAGATAACCTGTGACCAGTAAATTTGGGCCTACATATGAGAGAATAGGTCTGTGTGGTAAGTGTGCACTATAAAAAAAAAAACTTGCAGCACACAGTGCATAATGAGAAAAAACTGCAACTGTATTTATGTGTAAAACTTACTTTGTGGTGTATTTTTGTATGGTTTTTATGGTTGTATTCTCATTTTTTACTTTCGTTTTTCCTTTTGGGCCACCCCGCCTCGGTGGGATACGGCCAGTGTGTTGAAAGAAAGATTCTCATTTTTTTGGTCTCATTTGACAGAATGGAAGATATATTACAGAAATAGATATGATTTTGATTGGTTTCATGACAGAAAGTACCTCAAAATTGAGCTCAAATAGCAGAAATTTTCATTTCGCTGGTTAAATATGTGCCCAAACGGGCCATCTAAATGCAGTCACAAGGGCTTGAATTATTTATACAATTACTATTCCCAACAATGCATAGTCACATAACAGAAATCTTTTATTTTTTTTGTGAAAAAATTCAAAATGGAGAGCAAGCATAATATAAGAGGGGCTGGAAGGGGCCAAGAAAAAAAAAATGTTTTTTTAGTGCCGGGAAATGTCTGCACTGTTTTTTTCTGGATTTTTTTTGTTTTTCTGTAGTGGGTTGGTAGACAGCAACCCCCCCAGGGAAGACTACCGCCCTGCCAGTACGTAAACAAAAACCGTAACTGTTTGCATGATGGTAGGGGTTGCTGGTTTTTTTTTCTGTCTCATAAACACCTAAATAACAGGGATAAACTTTCTACTCCCCACTTACACTTTTGGTCACACTTCACAGACACGCAAGCATATAAATATACATACATCTAGTTTTTCCCCCCTTTTTTTAAAAACTCTTGTTCTTTTTTATTTCTTCTATTTTCCATGGGGAAATGGAAAAAAATCTTTCCTCCTAAGCCCCCTGCGTGCGTATGAGGCGACTAAAAGCCGGGGGCAAAGGGGTAGTACCCCTTCTCCTTAAAACAATTACTAAAAAAGAAGAAGAAAAACTTTATAAAACTGGGTTTCTTAAAGTGGGGATGTAGTGCGGAGACAAGAAACAAAGAAAGCTGAGTTAGATGAAAAGAAGTTGGGTGTCCTGGCCCTAAGCGAAACAAAGCTGAAGGGGTAGGAAATTTCAGTGGGGGGGAAAAAAAGGGATTTTTAATCGGAGTATCGGGGAGTTGGCAAGGAAGGGGTAGCAGTAATGTTAAAAAGATCATTATGGGAAAGGGGAAAAAAAGAATATGAATGTGTAAATTCAAAATTATGGATTAAAGTAAAGGTTGGATGCAGAAGTGGGTCATAAAAAGCGTGTTGCACCGGAAAGAGAAATGCAGAGGAGAGAGAGAGTTTTTGGGAGATTTAATGAAAAAATAGGGCCTTTAACCCAAAGTAGAGTAATGTGGTGGGGGGACTTGAATCAAATAGGAGAAACTTTAGGAGGGGGGGGTAGGTAATTTTTGGGTGCCAGTGTAAATGTAAGGGGAGCCCTTTGATTGAATTTTGTATAGAAAGGGGTTAGTTATAGGTAATACATTTTTAAGAAAAAGGGGATAAAAAAGTATACACATAGATGTAGGCAAAATGACATAGTTTGTTGGATTATGTATTGGTAGATAAAAGACGTTAGAATTTCAGGAGTACATTTTAATAGAGGGGCCACAGATATACAGATCACTTTCTATTGTAGCACACTGGAGTAAAAGGTAGAGGGGATACAAGGAGAATGAACATCAGGGAAGAAGAGGTGAATTTTTATAAACTAAAAAGGGGGCAGTTAGGGTAAGATTAAACAGCTATTGGGGGATAGATGGGCTAATGAAGCATGGCAATGGGTCGAAGAGGTATGGAGTTTAAAAATGTATGTTTGAGTGTTCAGCAGAAGTTTGTGGTTACAGGAAAGTGGGTGCGGAGGGAAGAGGACGATTGGGGGAATATGAGTAAAGAGAGTAGTAGGGGGAAAAAGTTAGCATATGAAAGTTTTTACAAATAGAATGATGCAAGGGGGGAAGATATATGGAAAAAAGAGAAAGTTAAAAGAGTGGTGAAACAATGTAAAAAAGAGCAAAAGAGAGAGTGGGTGAGATGTTATCAAAAAAATTTTTTTTGAAAATAAAAAAAGTTTTGGAGTGAGATTAACAAGTTAAAAAGCCTAGAGAAAAAAATGGGTTTGTCAGTTAAAAATAGGAGAGGAGAGTTATTAAATGGAGAGGTAAGGTATTGGAAGATGGAAGGAATATTTTTAGGAATTGTTAAATGTTGATGAAAATAGGGAAAACCCGTGATTCGTGTATAGGGCAAGGGGGAAAACATCTTGTAGGAGTGAGGGAAAAGCCATTTTTTGAGTGGGGGAAGTTCCCGGGGGATAGGTAAAATTAAAGGGGTAGGGGAGCCGGGTTGATGGGATAAAGATAGAAATGTTAAAACAGGGGGTAAAGTTTTGGAGTGGTTTGGTAAATTTATTTAAAAAAAAAGAGGGAAAAGGGGAAGGTACCAAGGGGTTGGCAGAAGCATGCATAGTTTTCCCTTTTTATAAAAAGGGAAGGGGGGTAAAAGAATGCAAAAATTTTAAGGGGATAAGTCTTTATGACCGGTAAAGTGTATGGTAAGTTAAAATTTAAAGAATTAAAAGTAAGACGGAAATAGGTAGCAGATGAACAAGGAGGCTTTTAGGAAAGGGAGGGGGGGTGTGGACCAGGTGTTTACAGTGAAACTAAATGAACAGTATTTAGAAAGGGGAAAGAGGGGCTTTGTGGGATTTATGGATTTGGAAAAAGGGGAGACGGGGATAGGGGGGCAATGTGGGAGAGTTTTAAATTTGGTGTAGGGGGTAGTTTCGAAAGCAGAAGAGTTTTTTTCAGGGAAAGGGGGCTCAAGTTTAAGTATTAGGAAAAGGGAAATTTTTTTTCCCATAAAGTAGGCCAACAAAGGGTGTGTGATGTCACCGTGGTTGTTTAATATATTTATAGATGGGGTTGTAAGAGAAGTAAATGCGAGGGTCTTGGCAAGAGGCGTGGAGTTAAAAGATAAAGAATCACACACAAAGTGGGAGTTGTCACAGCTGCTCTTTGCCGATGACACTGTGCTCTTGGGAGATTCTGAGAGAAGTTGCAGAGATTGGTGGATGAATTTGGTAGGGTGTGCAAAAGAAGAAAATTAAAGGTGAATACAGGAAAGAGTAAGGTTATGAGGATAACAAAAAGATTAGGTGATGAAAGATTGAATATCAGATTGGAGGGAGAGAGTATGGAGGAGGTGAACGTATTCAGATATTTGGGAGTGGACGTGTCAGCGGATGGGTCTATGAAAGATGAGGTGAATCATAGAATTGATGAGGGAAAAAGAGTGAGTGTGCACTTAGGAGTCTGTGGAGACAAAGAACTTTGTCCTTGGAGCAAAGAGGGGAATGTATGAGAGTATAGTTTTACCAACGCTCTTATATGGGTGTGAAGCGTGGGTGATGAATGTTGCAGCGAGGAGAAGGCTGGAGGCAGTGGAGATGTCATGTCTGAGGGCAATGTGTGGTGTGAATATAATGCAGAGGAATTCGTTAGTTTGGAAGTTAGGAGGAGGTGCGGGATTACCAAAACTGTTGTCCAGAGGGCTGAGGAAGGGTTGTTGAGTGGTTCGGACATGTAGAGAGAATGGAGCGAAACAGAATGACTTCAAGAGTGTATCAGTCTGTAGTGAAGGAAGGCGGGTAGGGGTCGGCCTAGGAAGGGTTGGAGGGAGGGGGTAAAGGAGTTTTGTGTGCGAGGGCTTGGACTTCCAGCAGGCATGCGTGAGCGTGTTTGATAGGAGTGAATGGAGACAAATGGTTTTTAATACTTGACGTGCTGTTGGAGTGTGAGCAAAGTAACATTTATGAAGGATTCAGGAAACCGGCAGGCCGACTTGAGTGTCCCTGGAGATGGAAGTACAGTGCCTGCACTCTGAAGGAGGGGTGTTAATGTTGCAGTTTAAAAACGTAGTGTAAAGCCCCTTCTGGCAAGACGTGATGGAGTGAAGTGGTGAAAGTTTTCTTTTTCGGGCCCCAGCCTTGGGGTGGGAATGGGCCCGGTGTGATAATAAAAAAAAATAATAAAAATTTTTGAAATTAGCATTTCTTGAAAATTCCAAATTTTTCGACCACTTTTACGGGGTATTAAAATAGGTAATGGGCATTTCTTGTACTACTAAACAGAAAAGAGGAATTTTTAGAAAAATAGCTAAGATTTTGGTAGACGGGAACAAGGAAGGGGCCAAAAAAAAGGCAAAAAGGGGGTTTAAATTTGCCGATGTGAAAATACCCCGTGGGTTAAGCAAACCACTTGTAATCTGGCAAAATCACTAATCCAGCCCCACGGCCCCGAGGTGCGGGATATGTAGTCAACCGTATACACCCAAAGCCATTTTTGGATTGGGCATTTAACCCCTTTCATGCTTAGACTCCTTAAAAATTAATACAGGGGCCCCGATTAACGTATTTTTCATTCCGAAGTATGTTCAGGTGCCCGCTGAGAATTTGTTTCCCCCTAAGGAATTTGTGAAGTAGATTAGTCCATTTCAGACCCCCC